TACTTTTGAGATTGGTCAAGATGGAAAAATGTTTCTTTGACTTTAAAATACCTTTAAAAGGTTGTTTGTGTCAGAGTGAAACCCAAGTAGTGATCAACCAAAACAGAAAAAAAGCTGAAACTTAAAAAAAAAAAAAATTTCGGGTACTCTATACTCAGGTAAACTGATACAGACATTTCAGCTATTTAAAATTAATTTCATTAAAAAATTTTATTAAAAAATACAATTTTACATTTGTCGTTTTTTTATGTGTACTATGTTAGAATTGATTATACATTTTTCACAAACTAAGATTGCAATATGATTTAATAGCTTAAAAATTAGATTTTTATCTAATTTAGAAAAATATTTATTTTTGAGAATTTCCACAAAATACCTTGAAAAAATCTTGTTTAACAGAGTAAATTAATATTTACTGTGTTAAACAAGATTTTTTCGAGGTATTTTGTGAAAATTCTCAAAAATAAATATTTTTCTAAATTAGATAAAAATTTAAAATATTGCAAATTTTTTGGTTTTCAGTATGTATTTTAACTGAAATTTTGCTTTTGACCAAATTTATAATAAGTATCGAAACCGAAATTTCGGTATCAGTTTAAATTGAAATTTCAACTGAAACCGATACCAAAACAGAATTTCGGTTGATCACTAAACCCAAGTTTACTATTATTGATTTCGAACATTCTATTGATTAGGCATTTGATGACTAACTTTGTATGAAAACAGAGTGAAACTATATAAATTGGTGTGCAGACCAGAATAGGTCTTTTTGTGACAATAATAGTGCTATTAACATAATGTTAATTATGTTAATGTTTTTTATTTATTTTTAAAAAACTATACACATGATTTAAAATGTCAATGGCAAACTTCAAGTTTAAAACTCCTTCTTTTTTAAATTAAAAAATTTAACTAAGTTTAAAAAAAAATTATATATATATATATATATATATATATATATATATATATATATATATATATATATATATATATATATATATATATATATATATATATATATATATATATATATATATATATATAGGTCTCATTTTTCTTTATTTTTTGTTGCATTTAGAATCTAACCTTTAGATCTAAATAAAACAGATCATTGTCAGACATAAAATAATGTTATAATAAAACTGTTACAAAATAAATCATAAAACTTTTATGAATGATATAAAGGATACGCTGCCACTCTAAAAAGCCTCATTGCCAAAAAACATCAATAATGGCTGGATACAGATAATCATTCAGTTAGATGGTTCAGTAATGAAATGCCCTACACTGCAAAAGAAAAACAAAATTTATAACACATTGAGCAGTGGAAGTGTGGGAAACTTTAAGTTCTTTTAAGTATAATAAGCAAAGAAGGAAATGCTAGACGTATGATTCACTTATCAAACGGGAGAGCCTTGATAGTTACAATGTGCCCCTCCTATCAGTAATTAATCCTGCCAGTGATCAACCCAAAAAAAAGCATAGTGATTTTCAACCAATTGAAGTGGATTGATATAAATGAAGATACCAATAAAACTTGTTTATATGACACTTTTATTGGTACATATGCAGTTATGGGGGAAGGAGGGTTACCAAAAAACGTACAAATGCATACAGATTGTGTATTACGTATTAAGCATCTGAGAGTAAACGCTTAAACAAAAAGAATTTGACGTGGTCAGACAAATATTAACTAGCTCTCTAAACATTGACTGTTAAAATGATATTTTTAAGATTAAAATATTAAAATTATATTTAGTTAATAAGTATACAAATTTATTTTTGAAAGTTGTAACCAAATAAGATAAGTATATATTTAAAAAAATGTTTATGAATAAGTTTTAATCAATAATTTTAAAGAAAGCTCAAACTTCAATTCTGAAAAATTTGTTTAAAATGGTTTTTAATCTTTTTAAACACTTTTTTTTTGTATTAGAACTTGTATAAGGATTACACAAAGGAATCTTTATATAAACATATAAAAAAAAGTGAAAAATTGCAATTAATGAAAATAAATAAACAGTTAAATTTGTAAAAACAAAGTTTTACAAAAATATTCAATCATACAAGTATTGTTAAGAGTTTACCAATTATGAAGTAACTTTAATTAATATGCTAGTGCCAATAAATAAAGCATTACTCCATAAAATAATCTGAACTTTTGATTGAATTGTTTATTTTGCCTCTTCTTTTGTAAACTTTTCACACACTTAAAAATAGTGCAATATAAATAGTTGCTCATTTCTGTTAAGGCAAGTCTTTTTATAAACAAGAAAACAATCAATCATGAAAGTTAATAAAGTCCATAATTCACATCACTAATGCTACACTGATATAAAATTTGATACATACTTATATTTTTTTACAGATAATTATTAAGACTTTGTTTCAATCCTCACACTCCTTGAGCTGAAATAAGAAAGTTAATAATTTGCTGGTCCAAGAAAGTCATAAAAGTAAAAACTGATATCATTAAAGCGATAAAAATATATTTTTCATGTTCGTATAATAAAAGACTATTTGATACAAAAAATCAACAATAAAATCATGGCTATTTCCAATATTAAAATCAATAATGCTGCATTCTGTATTTATATTAGAGCTAATAAATAGTTTACAAATTTCTTTGTTATGATGATTATACATATTATTTGCACCTATATTAATACAGGGTGGCCACATAAAATTTTTATAAGAAAAAGAGGATATTAGAGGAGATTTTACATTAAATTTAGAGGATATTTTTTGCAAAACTACAAAATTTTGAATAAAAATAGAGGATTTTAGAGGATTTTATTTTCAAGGTATAACGCCTGTTTCCACATAACTGGGGTTTGGACAGGGGTCAACAATGTCATTATTTGTTAGATGACATGGATTTGCTAAAATTGATTTTTTACAACTCAATTCTCATTTCAGACTTTATGCATTTTGCAGACCATGAATTTTGAAGAACTACCATCAAGAAATAAAAAATAATAAAAAAGAGGAGTTAAAGAGGAGATTTTATGATAATTTTAACTTTTTAGAGGATAATAGAGGATTTTAGAGGTTTTTGAAAAAAGAGGACTTTAGAGGATTTTAGAGGAGCTATGGCCACCATGTAATATTATTTTCATTCTTTTGAATTTTCATTCGACATGAAAATCTACAAGATGTAAACTTTTTGTTTAAATATAAAATTTTAAAAACTTTTTTTAAATTACACCAGCTGGTAAAGGTTCAAGGTAGCAAGAATCTGATGAGAATAAATCCTAATAACATTGTTTTATTGTACTTTTATACACATTTTCTTCAGAATTGATATTAAGTTTTCTTTGCATTTTGTTTTGTTTGTCCGCATTTAGATCCTAGAAAGGAAAAGCGGACAGAAAAACAAACACACGTTTCTTTAATTTTGCTAATGCAACATTGGCATTTGATTAAGACTTTTCAAAATAAATGTCTTACTTCAGCATTTTTTTTCCAAATAATTATCTGATAAAATATTATTTACATAAATATGTATAAAATATTGTCATTTAGAATAAATATGTGTTTTTTACAAAACACATATTTATTCTAAATATGTGTTTTGTAAAAAAATACATATTTAGAATAAAAAACAACTAATTTCAGAGACTTAAAAAAACTTACTTTTAAGTAAAATAACTAAGTACACAAGTTGAAAAAAGCAATTATGCTTTAGCATGGTTAGAATGTGCTTAGATTATGCTTTTGCATAAGCATATTATGCTTGCATTTGCATAAGCATATTATGCTTGATAAGCAATTATGCTTTAGCATAGTTGCATGCGCTTAGAAAAGCATGCAAAATTTTACTTAAAATGAATGCTTTTGCAATTACTTTAAATAAAACCATGCTTAAACATTATGATTGCTTTCTTTTCGTAGAAGAAAGCCATCATATTGTTTAAGCACGTTTTTTTTTATTTAAGTAATTAGCAATAACATTAAAAGTTTAAAGCAAATGCATTCATTATAAATAAAATTTTGTATGCTTGCTTTTTTTTAATTTTCTTATTTTCCTTAAAGTGAAGTAATGTTTGTCTGCATAATAAAAATACCTTTAAAAGTTTTTTTTATTTTGCATTTATCATTAGTTTGCGTAAAGTACTCAGAAAATTTTGTAGCAGTTGAATTATAATTATGGAACCAATTAAATAAAAAATCGCATTTACATTTGCTTTGGTTTTTTTAGCGCATTCTTTAAAAGCGCTAATTTTCAAAACTTGGAAAGAGCCATGGCCAAGTTGTCAAAAGAAAGTATTATATGCGTGGTCATATAAGGGATGCGATCACATGCCTCTAACGCGAAGGCTTGATATATATATATATATATATATATATATATATATATATATATATATATATATATATATATATATATATATATATATATATATATATATATATATATATATATATATATATATATATATAAATCAGCAAGAGTAAATAAGTGCACAAGCAGTGAAACACTTGTGAAAATAGACTTGGCGGGCGACGTAAGCAGCCAAAGTTTTTTTTCAAAATTGAAAAATTTAAAAATGGCACTGAAATAACTCCAAGCACGTAATTATAAGAAAAAGCTTTTGTAATTAAAACAATTAAAGCTCTATAATTCTTTGTTGTCTTTTTTACAGTTTTTTTGATATGCTTTTTAATGAAACTCTTATACTGGCCATTTAACCTTTAATTAAGTCTATTTAAAAATAATTATATCAAAACTCAAAATTACATATAAAATAAATTTTCAATAATAAACTTTATTACCTTAAAGACACTCACAAAAACGTAATAACAAATAAACTTTTTTTTCTGATTTTTTTTATTATTGTGTAATTAAATAATACATTTTAAAGCGATAATTTATTTAACACTTGTAAATTTGGCATAATATTATTTTATATTAAAAGGGTATAAAATTCCTGATAAAACCAATTAGATAAATAAAAAGTAAAATTTAAAAAAAAAAAAAGCTGTGCCAAAAAAAAAACCTCAACAAAATTTGTGTGCTTAGCATCTCTGACAGTCACAGTAGCATGTACTTCCTCAATAAGCTTTTGCTTTTCTTCATCATCTAAAGGAATGTACCATTTAGCAAGTCGAGTTTTTCCAGCACGGTTTTGTATCAGTATAAAACGAATCTGTAAAAAAAAACTGTATATAATTAATTTATATTACATTTTTATTTATTATATCTTTTTTTTTTTTTAAACTATGTATATTTTTAAAAATTTAAATTCACTCCCAACGAGGCTGCAAGCAATCACTATTAATTTGGAAGTTTTTAGAAAACAAAGAATAGAGTTCAAGTAGAAGTTAGAGAGAATAGAGTTCAAATAGAGTTGGTTGACAGAAGGCTTGAAAAGGTGTACGTTGTATGAGTCAAGAAAACATAAAGATGGTAGAGAGTTCAAAGGGTTGAAGTGCGAGGAAAAAAACTAGACAAATAAAAGTTTTTAGAAAATACAGGGACAGATACAGTAAAATGATGTGACTTTTCTGAATAAACAGTCATGCGAAAAAAATGTTTTGGTTAATTGAACTAGAGATGATAGCTCCTTTGAGCATCAACCATGATAGTATTTGTAGAAAAAAGAAAGAGATCCAACTTTATGATGATGGGAGGGAAGCTCAAGCCTGCCAGATAAAGCAGGTTACCAACTAAGGTTACAATACATTTTTGGACCGAGTCTAAAAGAGAAGTTAACTATACTAATAAAAGTTATATTAATAAATTTACTAATATGAATTTATTCAATTTTTTTATTGTTTATACAAATAATTTTAGCTATAAAGATAAACACTTCATGTCTCAGAAAAGTTTAGTTACAAAAATTTAATTTTTTTCCTGCTGCATAATCTAAGATCAAAATCAGGATAAAAATCAGGACATAAAAATAAAGTACACTAAAGATTAAGAAAAAAATCCTGATGATGACAGTTTTGAGGACAAGATTTTATTACTGATGTTATAACATTAATTGTTATTGTAGTGTAACAATTTCATAAGTGACTAGACAATGACATTAGTTATGCACCCGTTATTTGGTGGTGTATCAATAACATTAATAATATTAACTGGTAATGTAAAGATCTCAATCTTTATAACAATCTTAAAGGTGATTCAAAAAGTTAATTGACAATGTTTACTTACAAAATTTAATGGTGTTAGTTATAAAACTGTAAAAAACATACCATAACTAATAACTTTATAGGTCTTTTTCGACGTTTTACTAGAAAAATTGAGCACAACAATATTATTAAATTGAAAAAATAAATAAAAAAAAGTTAAAGGAACTTTAAAAAAAAATTAATTGACTGGTAATAATCTTATTCTTTATATCACAAATCTATAAAAATTAAAAATTTAAAGAATAAAAATTATTTTAACTCTAAAAATAGTTAAATAATTTTTTTTTTTTTTTTAATTAAATTATTTTTTTAAATATTTTGCTAAATAATATATTTATGTACTATAGAATGTATATTAGTGATTGTTTACTCTTTTTGCTTATCCTTGTAGCATACAGTTTTTTTTTTTTCAGAAAAAGAAGAAAAAAAAAAGAATAATAAAAGATTGCTGCCTTAGTCCAAACTGTTAATCGATGTAGCAGTGCTCCAAAAGGTAGCAAATTATAAGATAGTCAATGTATGTACTGAAGCCCCCGTCAGCAGGCTATTTCATTATGATGTCAGACTGCTTATATATATTATTTGTATACATATGCACTTTTAATTAAAAAGTTAGGAAAAATATTATTACAATGTACCTAGAAGGACTTACATAATCAGATTATGTAAGACTAAATTATTAATCTAGAATTAATTAAGAACAATTATACTAATATTAATTATATTAAATATTATATAAAATTTACTAATTCTAGTAAAAATATATGTAAATTAGTTTATTTTACGAGTGCTTGAAATAAGATTTTATAAGAATCTCTATTCAGATTTTGAAGATAACTTCTTTTTTGATCAACTTTCATGGTTCAAAAAAATATATTATATAATGCATGTTATACACATTTTGGTATATACAGAAACAATTAAGAATCTCAATAAGATGAAGTACTTATTGACTATTAGGGTATAGAACTTTTTAAAAATTATTATGGACTTATTAGGATACAGCATCCAGTTACAAATCATTATTACAACATTATTCAATCATTATTACAACATCTACTTTGTACACCCTTTTCTTTAACATCTGTGTGTTTGGTTAATATGGTTGTTTACTCATAAAAATGCACCGGAAATTGTGAACTTAACGGACAATCTACGAAACCGGTATACTAAATATACCGGCATATGGTATACTAAAAAACAGCAAGTCTTTGCAAATTAAGAAATTTACAACTGTTGACAGATAATTGTTTGTAGTAATGTAAGAATAAATAAAAAGGAAATCTATCATAATACCAAATAAAAAAGAAAAAAGTTCAGAAATAGAATTTATAGCAATCAGGGCCGTCCCGAAGAAGAGGGGTAGGGGAGGGGAGGTAAGGGGGGGGGTGTTGGGTGTATTCCCCCCCACCCCCCACCCAAAGCTATCATTTAAACATTTGAGTTGGCACATTGAGCAAGTTTTGAACTATAGTTAACAAATTGCAAATATTGATGACCTTTTTTTTTTTTTTGGTGTTTCCAGTTGGCAAAAAATCACCCCCCCCCCCCCCATAGAAGACCTCTTCGGGACGGCCCTGATAGCAATAGCGTATTTCAACGTATTTTTATATGACATAGAACTTGGCATCAATAGAAAGTTCTTTAAAAGGACAATAAGAACTTAAAGGGAATATCACTGGCTTTTACAGCATTTTCTATACCATGTAAAATGCTGTAAAATCAAGATATATTTTTAATTAGGCCACCGTCAAATATAATTTAAATACCTTAGCTTGGGTGCGCGAAAATATAGTATATAGGCAACGATTCTAGATGAAAGGATATTACAATCATTTTCGATTTTCCATGTTTTTATATATTATCTATATAAAATAACAGGTCATGAGATTTTTATTAAAAAACTTACAAACTATGGAATCTGTTTTTTTTTTCTAAAATTACAAAAGAGCTTTTTAAGCAATCGTAAACAGTTTGTTAAATTAATGTATCCTCCTCTACAAATTTAATAGGTATAACATGTGGAGTAAAATATTGGAATATTATACGAAGTGAGAAATTTTATAAATAGACATCCATTAACTCAACTTTATTACTCACTTATCCAATACCATGTAAGTTATGCAAATATCGCATAGAGATAAAAAAAAAGTCAAATAGATCCTCTTTATCGGTAACAGAAACATCTAGTACAACTAACATACTTTAAATATCGTTTTACTTGTGCAAAACCTCTTTATTTAAAATAAATATTCTTAATATGTACCAACTTAATGTTTTAAAGTTCTTGGCTTTTTATTCAAATGTAAGCTAAACTTAACTCATATATCTTTTCAATATTTACATGCATCAAATTCCAAAAGCAAATATGATTTAAGAAATTACAGTTTTATTTTAAAATTATTCACATAAAAGTTTTGGAAGGTCTCTTATACCATATTGCAGAACTTTTCTGTGGAACCAAATAGTTTTAAAAATTTTTTATTTTTCCCAAAGTTGGAATTTTTCTACTTTCAAATATAAAATGAAAAAGGTATTTTTTGCAATAGATAATATATTTTCATATTTAAATGAGTGCAATTTAGCATTGGAATGAAAAAAAGTTTACGAATTGATAGATTCATGAAAAGGGTGCAAAGAAGGCGCAAATGAAGATTTTTTAAACCGTTACCAACCCACTAGTTAAGGAAATAATTAAAAACCATTTCTTTAAATAAACAATATTTATATAAATGAATCGGTGAGTGCTAAAAGGGCGGAAGTCACATATTTTACAAAATTGACTTTTTGCAAATTTGTATATTCAAAGGATAGCTCCATCATTTTGTGTTAAAAAGATGTTCGTCAAAAGTTTTCTCTAGCTTGTACAGTGTATAAAAATTTTGTTTTTTTATTAAAAAGTCCGGATCTGGACTTCAGCCCTTTTAACAAAAAACAAGAAACTTTGCGCTGAAAACAGCGGACCAAATGTAATCTTACTTTCTTGATTGTACAACAGCGTGGTGAATAAAGTTGATTTATTACGTGTGATCATTTTAATAGTGATTTAAGTTGATTAACAACTTTTTAAAATGGGTAATAGTGGTATTAAGTCTGATCATACAAGTTATAAAAAAAAGATAAGAAACCCAGATGATTGACATGATATACTAGCTAAGGTATACACTCACAAACAGAAATATGTATAATATAAAAATTATCAAAAGAGGCAACAGTCCTAGCAAATCTTCTTTTTTTTTTTTTTTTAAGGTATCTCAAAAAGTTTTTACGGTCTTATTACAGAGCACCGCTGATGAGCATTTGAAAGGAAGTTCACTCCTCCTTCCTTACCGATGTTATAAAATTTGCCAAAAGGTGGCGTTGAACAACAGAACTCTAGATTCTGAAAAAACTGATCCACTATGGTGGAAAGGAAAGGTATTTTTTGAGTGAAGATTAGAACGTGAAACTAATGTATGAACTATTCATGAAAAAAAAATGAAGGGAGAAAGTTCAGTTACAAGTCTTTTTATAACTACTAGATTGAGCAATTTCATTTACGTTATGGGCAACATCAAGTAGACATCTGATGCATATGCGAAGAGTTTAAGCTAAAGATAAAATACTGCAAAAAGCAGTAACTGACTTGGCAGTACATAACAGACGCGCAGAAAATTTTACCAATCATAAAATAAGATGTACCGGACGCTAAGGAAGAAAAAAATATGTAAATGTTTTGTCCCTAGCAGTTGATAATATGCAAAACATTTCACTGCCTAAAATACCTGTAAAAGAGCTATTTTACTTAAAGCAGTTAATGGTGAGTCTATTTTCTATTTATGATGTGAAGAGAAACGTTGCAACAATCATCCTTTATCACAAGGGGCAGGCTAGAAAGACTCCAAATGAAACTTGCTTAATGATTAACTAAACTTTTATGTCGATAATTGTGGGGAAGGGGGGGGGGTGCAAAATAATAACCATTGCTTTTCAAAACTTTTTATGGCGCTTACTGATAATATATAGATTAAAAAGGTCAATTAATTCTTCACAATCAGAGGGCACAGCTTTCAAGAAATACAGTGTACAGCGTTCAAGAAATAAAAAAATTATATTAAAATGTAGTAATTAAAGAAAGTTTTTCGTGGTTGATTTAGAGAGTTCATCTCTAGTTTACAATGTTAAAAGTTGGTGGTCAGTCCACTATAAAAGAAACCTCCATCAAAACAATGGGTAAATCCAGAAACCAACAAACTCAGTTTGCAATAAGCAAATTTCATCATTTTCAATACGATTGTGACAACATAAGTCAATGTAAAGCCAGTGAAATCAACAATGGTTGTGTCAAACATACTTTTATGATGAGAATAAATACTCAAAACAAAGTGAACCTGCCAGAACAGCTTCTTTATCCAAAGGGAAGGTTTCCAATAAAGTTGAATGACTTAAGAAAGTGTATTAAGTATATCCCACATAATCATATTGACTTTTATAATGAACTACTGCAATGGCCTACAGCAGAAAGCAACGATGGAGAAGCATAAGATGTTGGGAAAAATGAATATGCATAGCTGATAAATTTTATGTAATAGACCTTTTTTCCTTATATTTTTTGTTAAAATGTATAAATAATTCATAAATATACACTTTGTGAAGATTTATTACAGTTTATGACATTATTTTCTATCCCCCAAAATTAAAATCATAGTAAAATAAACAGCAATTACTTGTAAATGTTGAAAGGTCCACTGTTAATTGGTTTATAGGTTCTTTAAAAAATAAATATCAAAAAACATGTGTTTGCGTTTAAGATGAAAAACATTATCCTCTTCAAAAAAAAATTGTTAAATCATTAACAAAAAATTACTGAGAAAGTAGAGCTGTTCTTTTTAGTTTCCCGAAATTTTACATTGTTGGACTTCAAATATTGTTTATTTTACACAAACTTTACAGACAAAAAAAAACAACCTTGAAAACTTAAAAAAAAAAAAAACTATATTCATACCCACTATACACCTACCTATAGGTGTATTCAGATACTCAAATGCTATATATACGCTTATTATTTGATGTATGTATAGCGGTTTACAATAGAACCCCTACGCTGACATCATTTCTTCAG